TATATGAAATAGTGTGAAATTTTCATATATGTAGACCACATGTAATAATCAAATCAGGGAAATTAACATTTCTAGCACCTCAAACTTTATTGTTTTGTGTTGGTAACATTCAATGTAAAACATTCCAGCTGACTTAAAATATGCAAGCAGTTATTTTCTAACTATAGGCAGGCTATTGTCCTACGGAATGTGTTCCTGTAATCTAAACGTAATTATGGCCAGGCGTGGTGGAGCACACCTGTAATCTCATCCCTCGGGAGGCTGAGGTAGGAGGATCACTGTGAGTTCCAAAGCAGCCTGGGCTACATAGTGAGTTTAAGTCCAGTCTGAAAGACATAGAGACACCCATCACTCAAAGAAAGATAAATGTATTTTTTTTTAATGTATTTTAGTACAGGGTCTACAGAGTCTCACTACACAGATCGGACTTGCAGGGGTCCTCCTGTTTTCAGCCTCCCAAGCGCTGGGATTACAAGTGCACACACTAGGCCCTGTCTCAGTCTCTGTCTCAGCACCAGCACAGCAGGCAAGGGATGGAACCGCAGTCCCTGCACCTGTCTAGGCAGGCCTTTTAATCTGCTGAGCTATTTGGCTTGCCCAAGATAAATATAATTATGTATCCCTTAGCTGATCTTTCTTTCTGCCGTTCTCCAGAATCTGATGACCACTACTCTGCCTTGTCAGCTGCCAACATTTTCAGTTTTCCCACATTAGTGAAGAATCACTTTTGAGTGACTGTCATACATATTTTGAGGCTTTTTTTTAATACAGCAACTAAAGTTCTCATGGAGGGCGTCTGTTCCCAAGTTCTTAAACTAGATAGAACAAGTTCCCTTATGCAATTATTATGGGGAATATCTAAAGTCATAGACCGTATTCTGTGAGAAATATGATTCAGTTAAAGTCAACACTATATGACTTTTTAAACAATTGCCTTTTGTCAAATTACAATACTCAGAAGCTGATAAATGTTGAAAGGACACCTCCAGCTTCACTCTTTCTGTCACCTCTGGCGTAACAGGAAGCGGGTCGTTGGGAGCTCTATGAACTAACTGTGCTAAAACACGCTGCTGAGCTCTTTCCCAGCGTGAGCAGCGCGCAGCGGAGCACGTCGCTCTTTGCCAAGGGGAGGCGCTGTCCTGGCATCCGGACGGCGTCCCAGGAGCCCTTCTCCAGATCCAAAGCGAGTCACCGGTCTGCGCCCAGGCAGGTGCCCATCTGTGCGGTCAGGCTGTGCCCGGCACAAGACGGCCACGCGCTCCACGCTTTCCACCCCTTATCGCGCTCAGTTATTCCCTACTCTCCTAGAAACAGAGGCTGCATTTTGGGGAAACACTTAAGCTTTCATCGTCTATTAAGTTGCTAGAGTATTTTCTCACGAGAGTGCAAGTTTGGCGTCCATTCAACCAACAGAACAATTGAGGTGGAGGGGAAAATGGGCCGGTGGAGGAAGAAGGGGAAGGAGATGAGGTCGTTAAACACGACGCAGATTTTTACAACTTCTTCTCTATACTGCAGTAAGTTTGGAAAGGTTTTGTACCAGGTTTATAAAGAATGAGACACTTTCCTTGCTGTTATCTGTGCCAGAACGGAAAGGTGGGTGCCACTCCTGATGCGTGCAGGTAGCAGATCTCAAGTGTACAAAGACGCGTTACTAAACCTCATTATCGTCTCTAGCAGACAACGGTGAACTTACACATAGTCCAAGCACTCAACAATGAAATTTGAACCAACAGCCTCAGATGACCTCCAACAGGATGCTTTTATCTTCGAGTATGTTAAGACAAATCCAATAAAGGAGAGGAACATCTGAGACGGGACTTATCAGAGAGGGCTACAACAGGCGCAGGTGTTCTCTCCACCCGACCTTGCTTCCTGCTCCGCCGAGGCCGCTCCTCCAGACCCAGCAATGCGCCCCGCAGCTCATGGCATTTGTGATCAATTTAACAGAACTGTCTAGAAATAAACTTGCCACACGTACAGCCGCCTAGCTTTTCTTTTAACTTCGACAAAGTTTATCACATATTCTGTCCACAGGATAATCTCATAGCTACACGACAAGTTTAAGAGAGGGTAAAATAATTATTGCAACCTTATATCTCCCATCAGCCTGAAAAATTCATGAACATTGCCTAAAGATAAATGAAAACTTACCATGAAATGCAATTTATGAAAATTGCAAAAGCTGAGTTGGTTACACATGTACACACACACACACACACACACACACACACACACACCTTGTACTAGGGATGACCAGCAAACTTCCTTAGACTAAATATGAGTTTTAAGTGGGGTTAAAACAGCATTATAAATTTTTTAAAGTATTTTGATAGTAAAACGTATCAATTACATGAATGGTTAATTATATCACTGTACTAAAGTCTTAAAAATATTTCAGTAACTTATACCTTGACTTCTGCTGGACATGGGCAACACAACAGAAGACGAAACGGGTCATGAAGGTGTATGACCTCTACTGCATGATGGTTTCAATGACAGCTTTTCTCAAGAGGTTGAAAAATTCGTTTTTTCTGGGTTTGAAAGAAACAAACATAGCATATGCTTTCAGTGGGGATGGGTTTTAATTATTATGAATAATCTCTGTAAACTGCGCCCAATCCGGAACTTGCAACAGCGGACGCAGGACAGTTACAAGTTTGCGTCCAGCCTGGGCAACCTAGTGAAAGCTTATCTATAAACAAACAAATAAATAAATAGAAAAAGGAAGTTAAGGGAAAGAAAAGAAGGGGAGAAAGTAAAGGGTAGGGGAGAACAGAAAAGAAAAAAAAGGGGTGAGGGAAAAAAAAAAAAAAAGAGAAGAGTCCAGGTACAGCACATGGTCAGATCCTGTTACTTATTTATAGCCCTGTTCTGTAATTCTGTAATCCCAAGTGCTACATGGAATCAAGTTCTTGGCTTTCAACTGTTACAATATCTCGGATTACTTTGAAGCCCTGTTTTGTACTTAAAACTTCACAAGCTCCCTGCGCCCATTATCAAGAACCGCAACTGTAAGAATGTGCTTGCATCAGTTCAGGAAACCAGTCGGCCTAGTGTGCTTCAAGTTCGCTCTTATACATGAGCACAAGCATAGGCATGCATCTGTACACACACACACACACACACACACACACACACACACACACACACACACTCCTGGCCACAAGCTTCATGAAAACCAGTAGCATTGCTCAATTCCTCTTCCAAACATCTCAACCGACCAAGGCTGTCTGGCCAGGGCCAGGTGTTTGTTCATTACAGGTGGGATGAAGGAGAGACACACACAAAACCAAGTCAGAATTCTTCTGGGTCCACGGCAGGGACAGCCTCCTGGGTCACACGAACAGCGCGTTTCAGGAGATTCTCCACTACAGGGAGGAAGAGGCGAGCAAAGAGACATCCGTCCAGACACCAGCGCTGCTCTCTGGACATGCAGAAGGTAGCTATCTGAGTGACGTCATATGACCAAAGACCCTTGTTTAGAAATAAGCAGCCCTTGAGCCAGTTAAATAGCCCAGTAGAATAAGTGCTTGCCTGGCAAGCGCAAGATCCTGAGTTCAATCCCTGGTACCACCAAAAATAAAAAATAAAATTTAAAAATGCACAGGTCATTTCAGGGCCAGGGAGATGGCTCAGTGGAATAAGTGCTTCCCTGGCAAGCGCAAGGGCCTGGGTTCAATCCCCGGTTCCACCAAAAAAAAAAAAATAATAATAATAATTAATTAATTAAAATAAAATAAATAAGCAGCCCTTCCCCCAGCCATGTTGCTGACATCTGAAATTCCCTTCAGGGGCTTCCACTATTTCATACCATTTCCTCCTGCTTTGGGAGGTCATGGTGGCCCTACGCCTTAGAGTCTATTCCAGGAAGTGACCAGTGTAACCAGCTGGCATCTCCTCTTCTTAAGAGGAAATTTATTTGTAATGATGATAACCGAGCTTTCTCTAGATGTCTGAAGACAATATATACAGGAAGAAATGGTACAGAGGCTGAAACCAGTTCAAAACTGAATCAGGGAAAGCATATATTATTTGGCTATGGTTAATAAAGTCCAAAAAGAACAATCTGCAGAAAGAAATTTGTGATGATGAATAATGACATATGCAAATCATTTCTGAGTTCTAAAATAAAAGCAACTGTCATTTGGCCTAGTCACAGAGTGGCCTTATAGGGTTTTTAGCACACAGTGTGACTTCAAATGTCCCATACCTACAAACAGTTGGCTGTTCAGCTGCAGACGGAAGTGGCCCTCCTCTGAGGTCTCCCTGGTGCTCCGCGGAAGGCTGTCCACTTGGAGCGAGGTCTCCTTGAGGCTCCTCTCAGCCCGGACGTAATGCCATTGGTTGTCGTTCAGAGGAGAAGGAGACTGAACGACCAGCTCCACGGGGCCATTCCCCACATCAATAGCAAAGGTGATCTCAGAGGGAGCTGGAACCACAAAGAGAAACAGGAAGAAGGCTGAAGGCCACTGATGGGGTGTTAAGGTCACAACGAATAAAGGAGGAGCTATTTTAAGTCAGAATGGACAGTGAGGATATCCTTCTAAATCCCTGTAGCACTGAAGCCAATATTAATAGTCACCACCACCGACCACTGGACACACACATATCCTGTACACCCTTAGTTGATCCTTAACTTGAAGATTCAGAAACAGGCGAAGGGCCTGGGCTCCTAGGTCTGGCAAACACCCATGTGAGCAGGGTTCTGAGTCCCCCTGATCTACTCATTCGCTTGTGCACTCCTGTATTTGTGTAGACACAAGGTTCGTAAGAAGCTCCATTTATGAGGCAGGAGCCCTAGCTCCTGGGAAGTCCAGCGCTGTCCTCCATGGCTAGTGCCTATGATACAGTCCTTCCTAGCACTCTCATGAGTGCAAAACAAGATGGAGAAAGTTCAGTGGCCTGCTCCACGGAGTTCCCTACAACCTGAACTGCCTGAGGTCACGCCACACCTTCTGTGACTCTCCCCCTGTAAATAATTTGGATATCCCAGAAGTCAGGCGGTAGGCAAAGTGCTACTACTGATGCTGATGAAATGGCGATGGTGGAGGTAATGGTGGTAGAGGTGGTAGTCACAATAGCAGTGGTGGTGGTGGTGACGATGGCGATTGTGGTCATGGTGGAGGTGGATGGGGGGTGGTCACTGCGGGAGAGGTGGCCGTGGTGATGAGGGGCAGCAATGACAGTGGAAGCTGTACGTGATTAAGGAGATCTGGAGGTCCCACCACAGTAGGTAAAACAAACTCGATTATCATGCTAAGCACAAACTACGATATTATGGTTCAGACCTAAAATGTTCCCCCAAAGTATTCAAAGTTGGGCATTTCGAAGGTGGCTAGACCACAGGGGGTTCCTACTCATCCCTAGAGGAATCCATGGGTGAGTTTATAACTGAAAGTCACCACAGGAAGTAGGGCCCAGCTGGAGGAAAAGAGCCACTGGGCAGCGGTGTGGAAGAGCATGCTGTTCCCATCCACTCCACCCGCTCTGCTTCGGGTCGCCCGCGTGGCAGCTCTCCTCGACCTGCCTCTGCCACATCTGCTTTGGAGCCAGCCAGTGTGGACACAGCCCTCAGAAGCCAAGCACACAGTGCCTCTGCTCAGTCACAGGTGACAGCGATTCTGTCCCAGCAGTGAGAATACTGACTAACGCACACGCATTCTCTCATTTGAGTCTTAAAAACCACCCTGTGAGAAAAAGACTATGATGCCCACTTTATGAGTGAGAAAAATCCAGACAAATGTAAGTAATTTCCTCCAAGTTTCCCGCACAATAAGTAGAATCTGACTCTAGGTACAACTCCTCACTACTGTGCTGTTTTGAAATGTACCGTCTTAGTTTCCATTATTAAACAAGAATTTTCCAAATCTGAAAGAAGTGTAAAGTTAATTATACAATGAGTTGGAAGAGGAAGCAATCTTCTGTGAATAACTACTATTTGCACGTGCCGAAGCTGCCCCTCTTTCTCTGCCCGTTGCGTCCCTGTCCCCTTTTGTGTTACCCCCAGGTCAGGAAACAAACACTTATTTAACACCCTCGTTAATAGCCAGAATAAGTTAAAGAGATGCCAGAAGTTAAACAGCACTGGGGATCCCTGCCTGTCCGGCCGCTACACCCTAACACAAAGCTATCCCTGCTGCAGGAAGCACCAAATAAGGAGACATTCAAGTGCCTTGTGCCTTTGACTTGCTTCCTTTAACGAGAAGGCCTGACCTGAAGGAGAAGCAGTGAGTTGGAGCCTGAAAATTGGAGTACTCTAGAGACACCCGTTTCTCAGCAAGCTTGCCTTGCACCATTCTGATCATCAGGTTCTTATATTTCAACCCTAAGGAAGCTCTTAGAACTGGGCCCAGCGCATCAGTACGCACGGGACGGGGGAATGGCTGCTACCTGCAGCAGCACATAGTTTTGCACTCCAGTTCTCTGCTTGTGCCTTACAAAGCATCCTATTTGGACAACCAAAACCACCCTTCAGCCCCCTCCTCTGTCCTCTCAAGCTAAAGTGTGGGCTTGGTCATGCTGGGGCTGCACATCTGTTTTGCTTTGAAGAACAAAAGGGTAAAGCTCTGTGAGAACCTGGGGAGCGATACTGAAGATCTCGCGAAAACCTTCCTGCCATGCTAGCCTTGTGGACATGAAGTTGCACTCCGGTGACACACCTGTGTGGATGTCCTGCCACAGTCTGTGCTGGCCCAGCCCTACCTTCGTGCTAGGCTTCCTGTCTGTACTTAGCGCAGCTACGCCACGTGTCCCTCTCTTATACAATCATCAGTTTATTGTCTGTCTCCTCCACCTGTCTGCCCACTGCAGAGGCGCCTCACTTACCATGGACCTAGCACTCAGCACTAAATGCTCTTCCCAAATCAAAAGTTTTCTGCAGCAAATCACTGTTGGGCAGCACATTTGAAATGCAGTATTGAAATGTTTTGGGCAGGGTTTATTTTTCTATCTAAACATTTTAAATCTTTGGAAAGACGTCTCTAAAAAATTCTAATTTACCTTTATTCGAGTAACAATTAGAGATCTGTAATGTTTAAGCCACTCCCTTTTTTATTTTTAAAGAATACAAAAGAGTGATAGGAAAGAAAATCAGCATTAGAAATGATGAAAGACTTCACTAAACAAAGCAACAGGGATTCAACAATGGTTACTGCATTACGTGGTGCCGTCTCCAAATTAGTTGTTCACATTGCCAGATATAAATACGCAAGATTCGCTTAAAGAAAAAGCATAACAATAACAAAGGAGTTATAAGAAATTCAAAAGAGAAAAAAGCCACTCCTTCTTTATCTGAAGGAGAATCAGAAAATCCAAAAGCAATAGGTACTAGTTTGTTTGTTTGTTTGTTTGTTTTAATGTATATATATGGAAAAGGTCTCACTACACAGCTTGGACTCATAGCGATCCTCCTATTTTCAGCCTTGCTAGTGCTGGGATTACAGGTGTGCGCCCCCATGCCCAGCCTCAGTGCAGGCTCAGCACACCCCGGGGCAGGGCCAGCCAGCATGGGATTGAACTCTTGGTCCCTGCACTTGCCAAAGCAGGCACTTAGTCCATTGGGCTATCTCACTGGCCCTAGGTACTAGTTTTTGAGCATTTAGCATAAGCTGGACACCTGTTTAGCAATTTTATAAATTAACTCATTTAATCCTCACTCGGTCACAGGAGATAAGTGCTATTTCAGAGGTCAGAGATCCAGGCTGTGAGCTAGGGTGCCCAGTGGAATGTGTGGAGGGGGTGTGGCCCAGAGCACATTTTAAAACTACAGTCCCCAAGACAGAACTCTCAATCTCAAAACCTGTGCAGGCTCACAGGACAGGGAAAGCCTGGAATTCAAGTAAATCCCTGAAAACAACTGAACAAGAAGCACGTGAGTGGGTGTACCACTAGAGGCTCTGTGGCTGGGCATGGAATGAATAAGAGCACTCAGTGGCCATCGGAGCAAATGCCACCATAGGACCACGGTGGGTAAAGAGGTGGCCCCGAGACTGGGCTGTCTATGAATGTGGCCTCGTGCTCTGAATCGCCCAGCGACGCCCAGGCACCTGCTCTCACTATCCTCTCCTTTATGGTCACAATTAAAGCTAGCGGTTACCTCAGCCTTGGGAGGGTTTCTCTCCAGCCAGGAGCCGGTACTGAGGGCAAGGATGACAGAAACCAGATAAGCTGGCAAGTCAGAGCATGCAAGTCTCACTACCCAGCTCTGAACTTCATGGACGGGGAGCTCTGAGTTCACTGTTTGCCATCACCCCCTCCCAGGTCAGCCAAGTCGGCAATCCCAAGGTCTATGTATGGACAGAAAGGCTGCGAGTCTTTTTAAAAATGTATTTGGTACAGGGTCACACTATGCAGTTCGGACTTGTCATGATTCTCCTGTTTTCAGCATCTCTAGTGCTGGGATTACACGCGTGCACCACCACACCCAGACTCGGTCCCTGTCTCAGCACGCCTGGGAGGGGGGGAATCATACGAGGCCAGGACTGAACCCTTGTCCTTGTGTTTGCCTTCCTTGCTGGCCCTGAGGCTGCAAGTCTTTATTAGAACCAGCTAGCCTCTTCCATGTGGCAGTCTCAAAATGAGAAATATATATTCAATAAAATAGGATTATACATTATGGAGACAGGGATTTTTGAGATTCTGATGAAACTGTGATTCTTATCTTTCACATTTATAGTTTTGACAAAATTGCAGACACTTCTCAAATGCCCTATGCCTCCACATCTAGAAGAAAGAAGAAAATAATTCTCTTGAGCTCTAACCTTCTTTACTCCTAAAAGGGTTTGGTAAAACTTGGTAATGAACCTCGCAAAAGAGTAGAGACATGAGTTTGCAGACTGGATTACAACCTTTCACAGTCAATTAATCCCAGGCTTGCTGGCTGTGGGTTTGTCATTCTCGTCTGTTCAGTGGACTACGACTGGCAAGGAGGATGTGGTACACTTATGTCCTAGTCATGGAAGGACTGCTTCCAAACAAAATGAAGACATGTAAAGAATGCAGCAGAGGCGCTGGGGAGATAGATTAGCGATAGATTAGCGGTCTAAGCACCTGTGGGTTCAATCCCCAGTACCACATGCCGTGCTGGCCCTGGAACCAGGCATGCTGGCATGTGCCTGTAATCCCAGCGCTGCAGAGGCTGAGGCAGCAGGATCACTATGCGTCCGAGCTACGTAGGAAGACCCTGTACCAAATACATACATAAATAAAAGATTCAAAAAAAAGAGAATACAGCAGAGTGTCTAATCTCAGTAATCACTCAACAACCCAGTGATTTTTATTAGGAGTATTAACTCTTACTATTCTCTGAGGTTCTAGCTACAGCATAATCAAAGTAACATCACAGCAGGCAACTATTCTTAATACAACATGTTGGCATTCTAAAGTATAAACATGAGCGATAGTGTGTGCGTTTGCTTTTTTCCCTGCTAA